AGAGGGGATTACACTGAGATATCTCACTGCCACCTTTCATCATTAACAGCTCCTTGGGCATTTCTATTGGCAAAGGAGCTTTCCTCCAGCCTCGTTCCTTGTGCAGCCTGCTGGGAGCTGTGTGTTTGTGCACCAGGCTCCTCTCCCATTCTGCCTCTGCCTGTCCTTGCTGCAAACCATCCAGGAGAGCTCCCGAGGAGCTCCTGCCTGCCTGTGCCGCGTTAGTGGCACCGGGGGAGCGAGGAGTAACACATCCCTCCTCCGAGCTCAGCTCCGGGACGCCGTGTTTGTGTTTGCGAGGTGCCCGGTGCGGCTAAAATTAATTTACAAACCCTGGAGATGCTACTCCAGTCCTCGTGCTGCCAGCCTCCCCCATGTTCCCCTGCGGATGCTCGGGGAGCTCTGCACCTCCCCTGGCTGGATGGGAGTGCTGGGCCTGCTGCACGGTGCTGAGCAGGCTGTGGCACCGGGAGCGGCCCCAGCTGTGCCACAGCGGGAAATGGGCTGGAAACCAGGCAGGAGGAGGCGCTCAATTGGGCAGAAAACCCTTTAATGTGGAGGAAGTGCAGAGCGTGGATGAGCTCAGCCAGCCTCCCCCGGCTGGTTTCACCTGCAGCTTCTCCTCCCCAGGGTGTCTCAGGTGCTTGGCTGAGCAGCCTCTGCTCCAGTGCAGGCTGCACCCAGCCTGGGAAACCCTGGGAAACGCTGGGAAACCCTGGCAAACCCTGGGAAACCCTGGCAAACCCTGGCAAACCCTGGCAAACCCTGTGAGCGAGGAGAGGAACCCCTGCATGCCCGTGTTTGTGTGCTCAGCACAGCTCCTGCCTGCTCTGAGTGTGGGATATCTCCCAGCAAGGGATGAACAGCAGAATTTCTGTCTGCAGGTGATTCGTGTCCCTTTGGATTCCTTTGCAGCCGAGGAATGGGGTTGTAACTGTGGCTCTGAACCAGGAACCAGCCTTAAAAATGGTTATATTCCAAAATCTTTGGTAAAATGCAGAATTTCGATTGTGTTTAAGTAACTAATTTATATTGTGCCCCAACGAGAGCAGTGGAAAACGTTTACAGGAGAGGGAGGATCTCGGGCTGCAATGAGCTTCAGGGAACTGCTCTATTGAAACTATCAGGACCAGTGGATTATTTATCACCACTCTGGCAGGCTTCCAAAAACATATCATGTTTTTTTTTTTTTCAGATTACTGCACTGAAAGGGCCTTGCAAGGATCTGAGAAATGCCTTCCCAAGCATGTGCTTCAGCAGCAGTGTTGTTCAGCTTTGTGAGAATGGATAATGCTCCTAAACACTGCTCCTAAACACTGCTCCTAAATATTGCATTACTGCCCCTGCCTCAGGTTAGAGCCTGAATGGAACCTCTGCTCTGAAACACTGCAGGGGCAAGAGGGTCCTTGAATCCAAACTAAATCCACTGGTTCCTTGATGATAGATCACTGAAACTGCCAAATGTCACCTGGCACGCAATTTTCAGTCATTTATTTCTGTTCAGAAATATACGTAAGAGGAGATCAACTTCCATTACATCTCTTTTTCTAGCTTAGTCAGTTTTTAATACTGGTGATATATTCAGTGGATAGGAAATAATTATCTTAGTCATAATACTTTTGATTCATACAAAAATATATATTGTGTTGGGCTTTTAAAACGATTTTGACAGCATAAAGGAAAAAATTTATTAGGCAAAAGCCGTCATGCATGAGTCCTGTAATTGCTGTTACTAAAAGCTGGGGGGATGCAGTAGAATGGAAATGATTTTATCTCAGTATTTCTGCAAGTAAGGCAGTGGATGGGACGTGGGGAGATGGGACAGAGACCTGGGGAAATTCCTGCTCAGCCTGGGCTGATTTCCCTCTGTCGTTTGTTGTGTCTGCAAAGCAGAACATTGCCAGCAGCACGGAATGCACGTGTTCCCTGCGGGAACGGAGCTTCCCTGTGCAAAGGGAACCCTCTGGAGAGGCCCCGTGGAACGGGCCCAGGAGAGCTCTCAGCCTGGGTGGGAGGTGTGGAGAGCTCAGCAGGAGCAGCCAGAGCTGCAGGCACAGACACACACCCGGCAGGGCTCCGGGGCTGCTGCCACAGCAATTCCAA